AAAACATCAAGCAAGGATAATAAAGAATAAACATTTATCTTCCAGAATACTAGTAACCTGATGTAACGTAAGATTAACATAACGCAACAACTCTCTTTCAAGCTTGTATGAGTTAATTGCGTAAGTTAATAATAACATTAAGTTCCGATCTATTATACGGAGACGTGGAAGCTGAGGAGAGCTAAACGGAGAGCTAATGATAATAAACGACGACGTATCTCTATTGTATCGCGTCACTGTTTAATCTACCAAATTGCCCGTGCAATTTTTGCGATAGACGCAAAGACGGATGGACGATAACACTCGCATAAATGCGAGAATATGTCACGTCATACAGCTGCACTTTTCCGAGAACTTGGCGCGCGATGTACTTTAATGTCGCCGACAAACCGTTCCCTTACGAGATAAAAATGATAACCGATATTATACAACCCCCTCCTCTACCCTTTCCTCGCCTCGTCCCACACAAATGGACGTGTACGATAAAATAGTTCGCTAAAACTGTTGCGTTTTTCCTGTTATATCTAAGTATGTCTTAAAAAACATTTCCATTATTATTAATAAATTTGTGGTATAAATTCTATTATCGTGAATTATCTATAACTTTTTTTCATCGGTTTGTGTCTTTCTTTATCAGTTTCTACTCGTCTGGATATAATTAACGCGGATTAATCAAGGTAATCATGATTACTATTTTTTTTTTTCATTTCGCATTGAAATTTCGGTTATAAAGTCTGGAATAAGCAAGCATATTTTAAATAAAAATTAGCATAATTCAGAAGAGTTTATATATATAAATATATATTTCTTATTATAAGAACTATGCGTATATTATATGTAGCCCACACAAAAAATTCAATTCCGAAATATTAGATAAACTCGAATTCAGGTAATCCAATTTATTTTTGGATTCAAAAAATGTATTAGATAGAGAAACTTCCAATAGAAATATTCAAAGCGATATATAAATACATATATGGGCTACAAATAATATACGCGTAGCTCTTTTAATAATGTAGCAAATAATCGAAATGAAAATGAGAAATGGCTCGAAAAAATTATTAAAAAGATAAATTCGTATAACCGGGGGTAGTTTACGTATAGCGGCAATTGCCGCGTGGCACGTGACACTGACAGCGCCATTTCCGCGGTTAGCAATCGTTGCGGTCGTCGGCATCCCAGTCATTATGAACGTTAAATATGTCGGTTCAATAAAGTCAGTTGCAATGGAACGTTGAATGTCACTCCAGTTATTAGACAGACGTCATATCTGGACCTCGCGAAAGTCATTGCAAAAACGAAATTTATATTTTGTGAGATTAATAGAAAATATCTCAGAGAGCATTAAAATTATTATATGTTCCCTCTTTTTTAAATTATATACATATATTTTTAATGCAAAAGAGAATCTTCAAAATTTTTCATTAAAAATGTGGTTTGAAAAGGGTCATTTTTTTTACACAAGAAGCTAAAAATTATATTAATTTTATTTACTTGTATGATATATACACGTGAAAGAAATATAAAATGCGGGGCAAATTAATTACTTAATGGAACTTGGCTATTAGAGAAAGTTTCTGAGCAAAACGAAGGAAAATTCTTCCCCAGAGTAGTCGTTGTAGAGAAGAAAGTTACGACGTCACGTTAATAAAAAATTTTGCTCGAGATGAATACGCAAAATTCGAGTGAACTTTCGTTGAACATCGTCGGGAAAATAGTACGAAACGTTCAAGGGTGCGATTCTTGAGTGCTACTAATTGCGTCCATTAGCAATCGGGCGAGAGACACACGTACGCTACTCGCAATTTCGAATTACATCCTTCTCGCGGGATGCAACTCGACCCGAAAAGCTGGGATGCGATGCTGCTCGCATCTGGCATTTACAGGCTTTATTTTTCACGTGGAGTATCAAAGTGATATGGGGTATAAGAAAGGGTTTATAAGTTATACCAAGATCCATGCAAAATTACAGTAGTCGCGATTGATAGGATATTCGCGATATCGAAAGGAACGTTTATTGAAAGGGATATAAGACATTGTTTCGTGACGACGACAGCGAGCAGGAGTTGCTGGAAATCGGGAAAAGTCGGGGAAATTGAAAGCAAGACGAAAGGAAACTGCAACAAACTTTCATCCCGATAGGCAGGAATACGATAGAGAGATGTTTGACCGGCGACATAATTATCAATATTTTATTATTGAATTCTTGGATTTTAAGTATAAAATATTATGAAAAATCATTAAACAAATATAATCATAAATTAAGTGTAAATCATGATTTTATTTTTTAATAATAGAATATCCCAATAGAAGAAAAATATATCTACAAAACAAAATGTATAATAATTTTGAAAATATACGAAGATAAAATACAATATTGAAAAGTATGACAAAATAAAAAATTGCACAAGTAAAAAACAATATTATATATATATATATATATTACAATATGTTGCAACTAGTTTTATATCCCGTAGACTATAGAAAATAGAAACTTGTTAGTCCTTGAAAAATTTGAAAAATTTCACGCATGGTCTTTATTTTAATTTTTCTTTTCATTCTTTATCGAATTTTAAAAATAATATCAAAAAATTATATTATATATTCCTTTTTTTCTAGTCAGACCGTAATAATTATTGGCATATATTTCTGGAACATTGAATTTTATACTGAATTCTATATAGTATCTCTAATCTTATGGCGAATTTTTATCCTATGGAAAGGCAGGGGGGAAAAGATTCGGATTATCAATGGGGCTGAAATCCCGCACGGCGCGGCACCGTCGACGCGCTCTAATTTTCTATTTCCGGCTTGTACTTCTCTCGGCGCGACCGCGACTTAATTAGAGGCACGAAAAGTGGAAAGCAGTCGGCGGAATGGAAAGGGGAAGTCGAAGGGGTTCTCGCGCGCGCGCTTCTCTCTTCCCAGAGATAAAAGATACTAACTTCCGAGCTTTATCGCGGCATGCCGGGCCCCTCTGGACTTAGTCTCCAGAATAAATACTGGCTACGTTATCGATCCTCGTGGCGACGCGCCGCGTGATAAGCGCGAAAGACGAACTTTGTTTTCTGGATTCCTTCGCTTGTGGACACCTTGTATCCTGTATTACATGGTCGGGAGGAGCATGCACTATTTTTTTAATGTCTATTTAATTTTCTTATAAATATTACGTGTGTGTTATAATTAAATCAAATATATAATTTGTAAATTATTTGTTATACGATTGATTTATGTATCTTACAATTAAATATGATTTGTAAGTTGATTGTCATTGGATGATTAATCGCAATTAAAATTAAATTAAATTAGAAATATTTTAATATGAAAAAGTGGATTTTCATTTCGAGATTTGTATTACATTTGCCTTTTAAAATATTTCATAAAAAGATTTCATAAAAATATTTTTAAATTTGGGTAGAGAAATAGATATATAAATTTATATTATACACTTTATTTATATATTTTTTATTGTGATTTATTTTGAATTATTAATATAATTTTAGGATCTGTATATATATAAATATGTCTTTTTCATCTATTAATTGGTATATGATTCATCATAATGAGCATAGCTCGATGAGGTATAATTCTTTTGCTCTTTTCGCGTGGACAATAGACGATTATTCGTGCAAGAATAAGAACATGTCTAACGTAGATCTAATTCGAGAATGATAACGCAAGTTCAAAGACCTCTTTCTTTCTTCTATAATCGTCCGTCTTGTAAGATGATCGAGAATAATGATAAATAATATAATTAACTGGATTTGCTCAACGATGGGTTAACAACTCAAGTAAACTGAATGCAAATAACATGGAATTTCACTGACTATCATTCATAGAGTTGTAAGCGGCGTCGCGTGTAACATCCACGTGAATAATCAATCGACGACGAACAGGGTTAACAACTCAAGTAAACTGAATGCAAATAACATGGAATTTCACTGACTATCATTCATAGAGTTGTAAGCGGCGTCGCGTGTAACTATTGACTATTTTCGAAGAGCATTCGTACGCGTTCGATTTTCGTTTTATAAATGAGAAGGTATTGAGGACGACCCGGAATAAAAAATGCTAAGAGCGCAAATGTGTGATTGCATTTTCGCACATTAGTGAATGTCAGATTTTTTTTAGTGTCGCGTGATAGATCTTTATTTAATTCGGGAGGATTCAAAAGCGCTTAAAGACCTGAATATTTAAAGAAGTAAAGACAAAAAAAGAGACATACGATGAACGGATGTAAAATTTTAGATATATCCAAGAAATCTCAAAAAATTTTAAAATATAATATTTAAGATCTAAAGATTTAGAGAAATATTAGAAAAGATTGTGTGATAAGATTTTTTATTAAAAGTATTTTAATTTTAGTTATAATTTTGATTGAAATTAAATTTTGTACTTATTGTATTTATAAAAATTTATTTTGCTGGAATTTAATGAATTCGAAATTTAAAACATGCTCAAGATTTATAGAGAAATATTAAAATTAAAATTTTATTAGATATACAATATATAAAAGTTCTACATTAATTCAAATCTATGAATAATAAAATTTTATTATAGAGATATGTAATTTTAAATATAATTTTATTTATTAAAATAAATTTTATATTGATTAGATTATATACGTAATAAAATTTTATTTTATTAGAATTCAATAAATTTGAAAATAAAATTTAAAAAATACAGCAATATTATAGGATCTAAATTATATTAAATATCTAATTCAAAATCTGTGTTAATCTAAAGTCTGTGCGAAATTAAACTCTGTATGCATTAAAAGTTTATTAAGATAAAGACGAATAATGCTCGAGGGAAAGACCGAGCGCGCAATTCAAAGAAAAATACGTTAGCAAACAGGACACTCTCGGATATGTACCCGCGAGTAATCTCAAAGGACCTGGAATTGGAGCGTTCGGCCAATCGGGGTTCCGCTTCGAACACTACCCGTACGGTATTCCAGTGTGTACTCGATATCTCTCGAGTCCGTTTAATAAACTTACCTTTTCTACGACTCACTACTCCACGAGCGACGTCTCCCGTCACATTCCACGAATCGGCCGTGACACCCGTTACATCCGCAGGAAATACGATCCGCCGCCTCGTGACCGCCGTCGTTGTTGTTGTTGAATAGCACGCCGGTATCATCCACGTCTTTGTCTGAACCGAATATCACACACAGGCGGAGCGAGAACAAACGCGCGTGGAGGAGGAAAGGAACGAAAGAGCGAAATGCCTCGAATCCTCAAAAATCTTTTCGAACCGGCGCCGCGGCGCTCCGTTCGCGTGATCCTGTCAAACCACGCGCCTCCTCAGGATCTCGACGCGCACATGGAGGCGTGCCGGCTCCGTTCGAGTCCTTTTTGCAGTAACAGAGAATAATATAAACGTTAACGCTGCCAATATTATTTAACGTCGATTTATTCCTCGCGACGATTCGTCGACGAATCGTCAGGATCGCACTCTTGCTCTCTCGGGGTGGGAGGGGGAGGGAGCGTGTAAGATGCAGCAGAATGCACCGCGACTAGCCGCCCGCTTCGCCGGTCGGATCTCCCTTCAGGACGCCGAACATGTCTCGCCGCGGTTGGTCTTTTTTTTTCTTCTTCTTCTTCTTCAGCGTCCTCTCGACCGGAACATCCCGCGGTTCTAAGTCCCCGTCTTGATTCTGCCAAAAATTTCTCTCAGACACTCGCTCTGTTTTTTATTCTCCACAGGATCCCGGAGTATAATAGACCTTCGTCGAAGGATGATGGGGACCCTTGGAACAGAATAATACACCTTCGTGCTGCGAAGGACAACGCGTGATGAGAATCCCGCTTCCAGATCCGAGATGAGAAACGTGAGGAGGTGCCACGAGGACTGGGTACACTCGTCGTCTCCTCTTGATCTCTGCTGGTCCTGCTTGTCACGACGAGGAACGCGGTCAGCACACCTTTCTCGCGATACTCCGCTCTCTCTCTTCTTTCTCTCCGGAAGTCACGACCTCTACGCCAGTAAATGAGAGAAAGAGGGAGAGACAGATATCTCAACAAGGAGGATGAACGTACTCCGAAACGTCGCTGTACTCCGAAACGACGTAGCGAGGAACGATGCTGCAGCGGCGAGGACGGGCGTCGTTCACGTCCCCGTACGTTCGCTCGTCCGTCCTGTCTTTCTTCTACGACGCGACACGGGAACGCCGTCGGACACGGGGAAAGGCGTCGGCGGGGATCTTCCCCGATGCCACACTACCCGCGGAATGATAATAACGATCACTCACGCTTACCAGGACGCGGAGACGTGGCTCCGTCGTCGTGGACAAGGCTTGGACAGCGCTCTACAGGCACAATGTATGATAAAGAGAAAGAGAGAGAGAGAGAGAGGCGGTGGTGTGGTGGGAGAGGGGGAAGAAGAGAGCAGAGAGATACGACGAATGCTTTCGAACGAGGATTCCTCGCGAAATGAAACGCACATGTGAACACGCGGCACACCGGCTTCTCTGTGCACACGCTGTCTTTTTTTTTTCCTCTCACGGACGACACATTTCCGAAAAGAGCGAGTGGCGGCGGCGGTCGCGGCTCTCTCGCCTCCTTCCTCTCGCCAACGCCTACACGATACACATTGCACGCAGTAGCAACGACGCCCCTACACGCTGAACGTCAGTGGTGCTCATCGCAACGGTGTCGGCTGAAACGCTGAGAGCCCCGTTTCCAACGACGCCGGCATCGAATTTTATCTTCGTAATTTCTTTCTGGATGCGGCAAAGCGTCGAGAATGTTTCAGGTAATATCGCGATGTATATTGAATGTTTTGATTTTTTGACAATGTCTCGTTTTATGAAATTCGCAAAATTATAATTGCTAAATAGTACCTAGAAATGTTTTGAATGTCGTGCTCGCAAAGTTGGTTACCGTGAAATCTCCAGGTGTCTTAGTGAACTTTGGCGCTGATGTTGCGTCTGTTTAATTAGGGATATCAAGCGATTCCTAGTCGAAAAAGTATTGTAATGCTAGTTAATTCTGAGATATATACCCTAGTAATTCCTAACTAGTTATAAATATTTGTCTCTAGGATGTTCTAAAATTCATTTTATAATCATTTTCTCAATTCAAATCGATATGCTAAAATGATGAAAGGCAAATTGTGTGAACAATTTTTTTAAAAATATATATAAAAGCTCTCTACTTACACAATACATCTATAAATATAAATATAAATGTTTTTACATATAGAAGCATATTTTTATAACTTTTTTATAACTTCCACGCTGCTAAGATGGTAGAAAATATACTTAAAAGCTGCAGATATTCGTCACTTCCTTCCGTTAATTTATAATCGCATTCCTAGAAAAAAGAAAATTTTGTCACATTTATATTAAAATTATATTGTTAATTTTTTATGTGTATGTAGAGAAAATCTCTTACCCCGAGCATATCGCCAATTATCACTTTCTGCTTGTCAGTAAGTTCATCAGAGAAAACTACTTTCTCGTTTAATTGTTCAATTACCTAACACACATAACATATACAAAATATAGCATAATTAAAATTAAATTAATTCGACCAAATTGATATAGATAATCAACATGTGCATGAGAATTATTATTTTACATATTACTCTTTTAAAATTAATTTACTCTTAAGTTTTTTAAGAATTCAACAGCAATAATTAAAACAATACCTGTGAACCCGGATATCCTTCCAGCAGCAACTCTTCGAGCAACTTTTCGACATTATTATAACTCCCTTTTTTACAGGTCTCCCATAGTGTATCAATTTTATCATCGGGAATTAGCTAAAGAGACAAAAACGTATCACAATTCAAAATTACTCGAAATTATCAACAAATTACTTCAATTTAATAATAATAAGAAATTTGTATACTTTCAGTGGAAAGACATACTTACTCCGATCACATCGAGAGCATCGTCCACGGTGATCTCGTAGTCCTTGCCCTTCAATCGTGTGATCGACTGCAGACACATTACAGCCTGTCTCAAATCGCCGCCCGATGCTTCAACGATTTTCTCTAGAACGCTTCTATCAGCCTTCAGATTTTCCTCATTGCATATATATTCAAGTCTGGTGATACTCTTCTCATCGCTCAATGGCTTGAACCGGAATTTGGTGCAGCGCGACGCTATCGGCTTGATAATTCGCGACAGGTAATTGCATACCAGGCAAAAACGCGTGCTATGAGCCTCTTTTTCCATAATTCTACGAAGCGCTGTTTGCGCGGCGCCGGTCATACTGTCCGCTTCGTCCAATATGATGATTTTAAATGGTGGACATTTCTTCCCGCTAGAAAAATGAGTATTAAAAGATGTGAATTAGTGTTGATAAAAATAATTTTATTTTTTGTCTTATTTATTTATTTAAATCTTAAAGTAATATTATAATGTGTCTCAGATTATGCCATTTTTATCATAAATCGCAGTACAGCACACGAGATATCCAGAAAAGATAATTAATCTTCAAGTACACGCGTTAAGGCAATGTGCATCAAACAATTTTTTTTTTTATTTACGTCTTTTATATAAAAAAATGACAATAGCTAGCTTAAAAAAATAGTGGTGCAGCGCGACGCTATCGGCTTGATAATTCGCGACAGGTAATTGCATACCAGGCAAAAGCGCGTGCTATGAGCCTCTTTTTCCATAATTCTACGAAGCGCTGTTTGCGCGGCGCCGGTCATACTGTCCGCTTCGTCCAATATGATGATTTTAAATGGTGGACATTTCTTCCCGCTAGAAAAATGAGTATTAAAAGATGTGAATTAGTGTTGATAAAAATAATTTTATTTTTTGTCTTATTTATTTATTTAAATCTTAAAGTAATATTATAATGTGTCTCAGATTATGCCATTTTTATCATAAATCGCAGTACAGCACACGAGATATCCAGAAAAGATAATTAATCTTCAAGTACACGCGTTAAGGCAATGTGCATCAAACAATTTTTTTTTTTATTTACGTCTTTTATATAAAAAAATGACAATAGCTAGCTTAAAAAAATAAAATTATAAAGAATATTAAAGTTTTTGATTATATTTAATTATTACAAAATTTAACATTTGTCGAAAGAATAAAACCAATAATGTGCATTTACATGACTTTTACACGAGTACTTAAAGATTAATTGTTTGCTTGTGCTTTTCAGAAGTTCATTATTCTTAAAATTCTTCTGCATTTCCAAGCATTTTCTATTTAGTTGCTAATAAGAGATGCTAAGATACTTTATTAGATCTCCTTGATGACAACAAGATGTGCCCTTTTATGAATAATCTTGTGCGCTGAGATTCCGCAACTATCAGACCTTTTACTGAATCATCATTGACATTGATTATATATAAATAGGATTTAACATTTTAACAAAGAAATAGATAATATTTTTATTTTTATAAAAAACTTTATTAAAACTCTATTATTAATGAAAATTATGATTGCTAAAATTATGATTATTAGTAGTGATAATGTTATTAGGAATAATCTCTCATAGTCAACAAAAAACCTACATACTTACTCTGGTCCGATGGGATTAGCCCTGCGCAGTGCAAAGGACTTAATCTTCTCCCTCACAACCTGGATGCCTCGATCATCAGATGCGTTTAGTTCCAGTATCCTATCCTTGTACATGCTACCAAACATCTGCCTTGCAGCCGCATGGATAATGCTGGTTTTCCCTGTACCAGGTGGCCCATAAAACAGCATGTTAGGAAAGTCTCCGTGCTTCATGGCTTGCCTTATCACATTCACCACCTCCGTCTGTTCCACGATGTCGTCGACATTTCTCGGCCGGCTGTAAACAAAGAAAAAAAATCTCGTTTTTAGAAAAAGAAAAAAAGAATAAAAACAATAATAAAATTGACTTCTGCTATGAAAGTCGAAAAGTGAAGAGTTGAATCGTAACAGCTAGAAAAAAGATGTTTTCAGGTAAAGATGTTCTAACATAACAGTTGTTTATTTTCTTATATGAAGGTCTCGTGAAAAAGGTTAATCTATAGGAATAGGGGCTACTCACTATTTTTCCACCCATGGTGTCAAGTCCTTCTTGTCATCCTTAGCGCGAGAAGTTGACGGTTTCTTCACATCTGTTGGGGCGCCTAGTTTACCAGTCTTCAGGAAAGCGTGCATTATTTTAATTCATGTAGCTACGCTCACCCGGCTCTTTATACGTTTTCCCGCCTATTCGTCACCATTTGCATTTCACATTTCAGGTCTTTGCAGACTGCGTTCAAAAATCTCATCGGAATGGAGTAATATTTGATCAAGGCGAAAGAAGCAATGATTTTCGAACGCAGCCATAATAATTATGCAAGATTCACAACGTACGATGTCCGGCATCCAATCGAAAACTCTCGTTTTTAGATCCCAAAATATTGCTAGTTAAAATCACTAGAAAACATTCTAGTTCTTCTACCGGATATCGGACGCAGTATGAATCCTGCATTAGCATGATACTGTGAAATGACGTGCAGTTGATAGATACATACACACGTAGAATCGTGTAGGATATCTGTGTCATTTTCGGTTGCGATATATATTTGACAGAAAAGCAATCATGACTTCGCTTCTCGCACCAGAAATTCCATCGCCAGGCTTTTCCTTTGATCTGTGTCAAAGGTAAAAATTTTATTCCGCTTCATAAATTAAATTGTGCTTATTTCTGGTGATTGTCACAAGAACTAACCTGTATGTCGATATTGCTGTGTCACACATTTCTATCATTTTCTTTTTATAATATATAATACATTTTTATATAATATTAGAATATATTTATAAACGATTTTATTCGTGTAAAAAAAAAAAAAGCAAAATTTTGATGATAGAATTTTTATATAAATATCAAATTAATTTCTTTGTATTATTGCTATGTCATATAATATTATCATTATTTGATTACAATAATATAAATAATGTTAGTTTTTATAGTTTCTAATGAATACTTGATTAATATTTGTTACATAAAGTAATGAATGATAAATTATTTAATAATTTTTTATATGAAATAATTTCGTATCTGTATCGTAAAATATCTTGATAAAGCGATATATTTTTAAGGCTGGAATTTTAATGTTGTTAATATCCACTTTAAAAAGTATTTATTTTTACGTATGTAACCAGAAATAATATATATTTAATTCATATATTTTGTAATTGATGTAGAAACATTTGCTTCTTTTAATGTTTATTTATTTTATACAGGAATAATACCTTGATCAAAAAAGGCTTTGCTGCTCCGAAAGCAGTTAAGACAGGTACAACTATTGCCGGTATAGTGTACAAGGATGGTGTTATTCTTGGTGGTGATACGCGAGCTACGGAGGACACCATTGTTGCGGACAAATACAGTTTGAAAATTCACTTTCTTGCTCCCAATATGTAGTAAGTATCCACAGGATTCTCTCTGTAACCAATTAGTGTCATGAACGATATATTTAAAACATTCAAATTTTTTTATTAATCGTTCATATTTTTTATAGTTGCTGCGGAGCTGGCACAGCAGCCGATACTGAGATGACCACTGAGATGATAGCCAGCCAATTGGAGTTGCATCGCCTGAATACCGGCCGTGTCGTGCCTGTGTGCACCGCAAACACACTAATTAAGCAAATGCTGTTTCGTTATCAGGGCCATATTGGTGCCGCTCTTATTCTGGGTGGTTTTGATCTCGATGGACCGCAATTGTATTGCATTTATCCACATGGTTCTACCGAGAAGCTGAAATATACTACTATGGGATCCGGCTCGTTGGCGGCAATGGCGGTTTTCGAAAGCAGATGGAAACCTGATTTACCGGTAACGCGAGTGCTTCTAATTATATGTAATAAAGTAATTTAAATCTAAAGAGTACAATTATTGCTATCTTAAAATTTTAGATTGGGAGGAAATTGATTCGCGAATTTAGAATCTAAAATATTTATTTTTAATATAATTTTATTTTATATATAATCGATAATTTTTATCATAAATGATTAAATCTATTGTGATTCATGTTAAATATTTATATATAACTTCTTATAAATTTTTTGTGTGTACACTCTCCCTCCTTTCTATATTAAATAGTACATTAAAATTATTCTTTGTTAAAAATGCTATTTTCGTCGAATTAAAAAAATCGCTGTTATCATTTATAGGAGGAGGAGGCGAAGCAATTGGTAGCGGATGCTATTCGTGCAGGCGTGTTCAACGACCTGGCATCGGGATCCAACGTGGATCTCTGCATTATTCGCAAGACTGGCGTTGAGTATCTGCGACCATATGATACCGCCAGCGTGAAAGGCCAGCGGCAAATCAGTTATCGTTACAAGCCCGGCACCACCGCGGTGCTTACCAAGACAATAAAGCCGATCATCGTGGAGGAGGAGACAGTGATTCAACACGAGGCGATGGACACATCTTCATGAAACTCTATTAATTAACTCAGCTCTACATAAACTTAAGTTATAGTGAACTTTTTCCAAACAGTAAGTGTTGATTATAAAATCTAATCTTTAAATATTTGTAATAAAAATATTGCCAGATTGTGCACAAGTAAAGCATATAATTTCTAAATGTTGGGTCTCGAAAGAAAAGAAAAAAAGGAAAAAACACTTGAATTTTTTCTTAAATGGGCTCGTGTATATCTTGCGATATCAGCGGGTTAATAAAATATATGTCATCTATACAAAGTTATACAAGTTATAAAGTAACACGAAATAATTCGTTAAAATTACCTGTAAATTTATCTTGTGATCGGAAAAAGAAAGGTTAGTATTAAGTTTAGAATATATCCTGAGGAGCGAAAACGATTTATAAACTTTAGAAGAGTCCAGCGGTCTGCTTGAGCCGCTGCCTCTTCCAGGCAGGCAATTTCTCGAATTCCGCGGGTTCCATCTTGAAGATTGCGATGAAATTATCATAAGTCAGATGCATCTCTTTGCGTCTGACATCGACACCGGTTGGCAGGTTTTCTGGCTCGCTCTTCAGCGTCGCCGGTGGGTACTTGATGTAATTATCGAAGTCCGTAGTGGCCTTGGCCATCGGCGTTCTCGTCGATTGATCTCTGTCCTCTATCAGGCCGCAGAAAACTTCGAACGGCTTGTAGTCCCTTAGTAGATTGTGGTTCCAGTTCTCGAATAGCCCGATAAAAGTAGCCGGTTCCAAACCTGAAGAGCGACAAAAATAAAATTAAATTAAATGATCTAATGAAGATTTTAAGAAAGAATTTTAAAAGAAGACAACTAAAGAGAAAAAGAGCGATGTGTCTTTTTTATTTTTTTTTTATATCATTCGAGATTTACCTTGCTTGATCACCGAGATGGTCGTATTGCGATTTCGACCTGCGGGATGTGTGTAAAGATATATAGTAGCATCCTCGACACATTCTTGTAATGTCTTTGGAACAGAGAATTTGCCTATCCACACCCAGATCACGCTACCGGCGTCCAGCAACCAGACGGCTTCTGGTATTAACGAGTTCTGTCGGAATCCGAGAACTTGCTCGCCCACGAAGAGGCCATTCTCGGTGCGGCACTGAAAGAGGTGTTTATCCAGTTCCTCACCGACTTCCTCGGTCTCCGCACCATAAGTGCCTCTTCCTGAAGAAAACAAATGAAATATTCCGAATAATTTTAGAAACGTTCGAGAGTTACTTTTTTATCTATCTCTTTTTATAATTTACCTCCAAGCTCGAGCCAGAAATCGTCGTCCTCCTTACCCTCAGCAATGAGGGGTGCATTTCTGGGCGCGAGGCGTCGCGACGCCTGTCGAGCGTCACCCGTGCTCTTGCTGCCACACCAGACGATTGGTGTGCCGGAGAAGAGGATGAACACCGCACTGGAATCTAAACTACTTGCCCGCAACGAACGTTCCACCGCCTTTGAAGTGTATGACGTCGAGCCGAAAACTCTAACCAGATATTTCTTTGGTGCTACGAATCAAGAAGCTTTATTGTAGAAAATAGAAAGATGCTTTCTACAGATTCTATTTTCCTTTAAGGCAACATATGTTTCATATTCATATATAAATTTTGAAATTCTTTTTTCTCAGGAATTTCCTATCAATTTAAATGACAGATTTATCTATGTTTTTCATATATGGTCTTTTATATATATCTTTTTTTACATCTCTCTTTGTGTATTGTTATTTTTGTAAACTTTTGTTTAAATAATAGTTTAAATCAAATGGGAAACTTTACGTGAATCACGGTGACGTCCAGCAAGTATCTTCAGCTTGCCATCGTAAATCTGCAATAGATGAGGTGGTTCTCTGCCTTGAGATGCCTTCACCAATTGCGCGTTTGTCTCTTCGGATAAATGACAAGCTGCCGTCAACGCTGCGTCACGATCTACCTTGATAGAATGGACACCTTCCCAACAATAAATCTGTGAAGAAAATATTTCCTAAGTACCTTCAGAATTTTTTATAATTATTGTTTCATTTTTTAGATATCTCTGTCTCTCACATATACATAAGATTGGATAAATTAAAAGGATAATTCCAGTTTTTCTTCTTATCTAGATTTTTTTTACAGGATTATCAGATATAGTTTAGGAGAAAATTTATAAACATGTTTAACAAAAAAATTAATAACATATAAGTTTAATAATAGATATCAATAATTGAATAATATAATTTTAGAAAAAAATTAATAAATTTAAAAGACTTGATATAGATGTCTACGTACAATATTTCGAGATCTTCGTCCCTGTCCGTACTTGTATAGCATCACGTAGCAGGCTTCCGCATAATAGATCCCCCTGTCGTCCTCTACCTGGATCATGCCCTTCTTCTGTTCGACTCTCCACAAAGTCCGTTCGCCGGACCCGTCATCTACTAGTTGGCATTCAGCAGCCATTCTGGGTCTTTCATTCATGTAATCGGATTCGAAACTTGCCGGCAAAGTCAGTGGTCTAGTCTTAGAAAGTTCCCAGCCTCTCAATAATGCTTTCATTTCCGCCGGTTCGTGACCTTGTTTCGTTTCATTAATTTTATTTTTATTCAACCATTGCGCGTCATTAATATAATCTTTGACAAAAATTTTTTGCGATCTATCTATCCAATTTCATTAGCCTTTGTCTTAATATTTATTTTCTTTTAATTAAAATGTTGCCGTTGAATATTTGTTTATTCCTAAGAAATTTGTAAATACTTGGAAGATAATTTTTTTTCTATTTTAAACTGCAATAAATCCGTCTTGCGTACTTTACCTTCTGTCGCCCTGGCCACCGGCATGCCGTCACTGTAATTCTTCTTCTTGACAAAACCACGCGCGTTTCTAACAGCTTCTAGTCTCTCCCTGGCATTGACATCGCGGCCCACCCAGGACCATACCCCTGCCTCGCCCCGATCCACCAGATACACGGAATTGGAAGTTAGATCGTCGCAAAGAATCGGCCCGGACTTCAATTCGGCGACCTTGTACTTGCCCGATTGCTCACTGCACTTGTACAACTTAATGGGACTCGGTGGATTGATGCGATGCAGGCGATCAGGCGCCACCACTCTCATCAAGGGATCCAGCACGCTGCTGAAGAGTTGCTTGTCGTCTTCGGGCAACGTTTGCTCGTAGCCGTCCTCGACCACCACTACACGACCATTATTATTCTCTTTTCGGGACTCTAGGAGACTAGCAGCATGACGTTTGTGCAGTGGATCTGATAGGGATCCTAGCCACAGGAAGATGACACCTCTAAGAAAATAAAAAATAATTTCTTACATTATTTTATTTAATTGTACATTTTTGTGATTATTTAAAAAATTATTTTTATTCTTTGAATTGTATTTTAATTTTAGGAAACGACGGATTAAATGGCATGCATTTAATAGTGCTAAAAGGATCAGCTCTATTACTTTTTGGAAGACGTATATCTTATACGCGAAAACTTTTATAGATATTTTCACACATCTTTTGGTACCAGATACATGATTATTCTGCACGTATATAAAACTTCTAATGACGTACTTCGCGTGAATGTCCACTAGGATGACATCGCGACAACTAAACTGCTCCCAGCCAACTCTCGTCAGCTCTGTTAAAATCGGCACGGCCACACCGGAGACTCGATGAAGTGTGCAAACGGGCGAATCGTCGAAGTGCAGGTTCTCGATGATCAATCGCTGCCGGAAGTAAGCGAGGAACCGGGGGCTCTCGCGACCTTGCGCTTCCCGCATCAGGATCATCGCCGAGGTTTGTGAATCGAGCTCGGCGGCGCGAAGTGCCGCGGCGCCGGACACTGTTGAGTCGCAGTTGATGCCAATCCAGAAGTGGATGGCACGCACTACCGAAGTATCCTTCAAGTCCTTGATCTACCAATCGTGTCCCAAAATTACAAATTCCAAGAATCTTATACTGAATATATTGTCTCAAAAATTGTTTTTTGAATATTAATTCGTTATTGAGGCCAAATAATCACTTCAAAAAGTAAAGTTTCTTAAAAAATTGCGTGTATGTATATATATACAGAGAAAGAGAAAGAGATAATTTTTATAAAATTTCCAGAATTAAATAAAATATAATTTCCAAATTTTTAATATTAAAATTTTCAAATATCGAATAATTATTTTTTAATTAAATCACTAAGCATTAATTTTTATTTTTCTTACAACAGGTTTAATAGAAGCAATCTGGAAGAGTTAAATTCAACGAAGAAAATTGCTTCCGAAGAATTGAAAACAGATTTCGTATATGAGGCAATGTTTGCGGTTTCTTTTGTGACGATGCAACACAATGGAAGTAAAAGTACCGGCATGCTCGGGTAAGGAAGAGCGCCGTCCTTCGCTGATACAGCATAGACGATGTATGCCGATTCGGAGAGAAAAAGTCCCATGTTGCTGCTGGTTACGGCTGTTGCGCGCAGACCCTGCCCGACAAATATGTAAGTGCAAGATGTCAAATAAAAATAAATGATTAAGAATAAAATTAATTATAACATAAAAGAAGAAAGAAAATATATTTTAATAACAAATTTAATAATTATCATAAAACTGTTAAAATGACAATTTTATTTATTTTTTTTTTAGTTTAAATTATATCTTTTATACTTTATTTATATGTATATAGATATCATATACACACACTGTGGAATTTTTCGTTTTAGAAAATAAATATTAAGTAAATATTTTTGATAATAGAAACTCACTTCGATCTTCCAGACACGAAAAGTGCTACTGTTCTTCGGAATGTTTCTGAAGACTTCGCCGCCGGAATCATCACTGCGATAGCTTCTGTCATCCTGCGGGATGATATTCAAATCTTCAGGATAAAGCATGCTCATCATGTTTATCACTAACAAATTTTAATTTCTTCAAAGATTTCACTCTTTTCAAAACTTCCTATCGCACTTTATTTCTCATGTAAAAATCGATATTACATCATAAAAATAACGATAAATCGATGTTTATTTAATAATCTTGTATCAAGAATAAAGTCAGAGCACTGGAGTACTCGAGCGAGTTCTCGAAACTTGCTGTAGGAGAAATGCCAGAAAAGTGGAAACTGGAAACGGGAATTTTTCAGGATCAGGCGTCGAATGCACGCAATGAAGTAATTAACGATAACTAATTCCGGCACGATAACATTGTCGGCATGTTCTTTTTTGCGGACGAGTTAACAGGCAAACGAGGCAAGAGTTTTGCAACGGAGAAACTGCGCTCGCGTGCTTTGCGAGCGGACTGAAAACTGAGTTACCAGAGCTCCCGAGGATCTCTATCTCGCAGGTGCACATGAGTGCGTGTCAGACGCACTTGTGCATGTGTGTATAGAAAATTGTTTCATATCTTAGATACATTTAATATAATTTAGTGCAGGTATCTCTGGGTGATTTTTTTCAATATAATCTATTTTAATATATGTCTATTTATTATAATTAATTTTAATTGTAATAATTATTTTAATTAATTATTTATATAGTTAATTATCAAATTAGTTATTTAATAATTAAAACACAGCAAAATAGTTTGCTTACTTTTTAACATTTCTGTTCATAAAAAAAATTGTATCATATATAGAAACTTTACTTTCAGTGGTACAGAAATCTAAAGTAAATATGTAAAAGAGATTTCAAAGTGTATAACTTTATACTTTTTTGCAACACTTATGGATAAATTAAACAGATAAATTTTTGAAATACTTTTTTTTATCGCGGATTATTACTATTATTTATTAATTATTATTTTTTATTCGAAGTGTTTGATAATAATATTATATAATTGGCGATTTCTAAATATAATTCTGCCTAAATAAGAAACTATGTCGCTTGCTATTGTCTCGAGTTGATTGACCTGTAACCACATCAGATCCCGGTAAGATGGGGCCCATTACGTCGCGGCATTGTGCCGGTTTTGTTCTCCGCTTTATGTGTGTAATGTGTGTGTGTGCGTGTGTGCGCGCGCGTCTCATTTATATACTCATGCTTTACACACTTTTACGCACGTACGCACGCACGCACGCACACGCGCGGCCTAAGCATCATCCGCGACGATTACCGTCACTGCGAGACAGGAAGTCGCAACTACCGCCCGCATACACATTTTTGCGCTAGAATTGCGTCAAAAGGTGAAAACTCGCTGTCCTTTGTGACCGCAAACAATTGTGAATCCTCACAAGGATAGATTTTTTCGAATAATTCATTTATTCAATAATATAATTATATAATAGGTAAAGAAACAGGAGACATTGCAACATAAAATTTTGGGATACCAAAATGCAATTTTTATTTGTTTTTAAAATGGATATAAGCATATTCAAAGATATCTAAAAGATTGAATTTAAATTAATTAAATTTAATTCTTTAAAAAATAACAATCAAAATTTATATCGAAAATTTACTTTATTTTATATTAGTAAATATATCTTGTTATTTTTTAAATCACTTTACTGACCTTTATATATAGTTTAGTCTACAGTTAATTAATTATCTTTAACATTTTATTTTTAGTCTCGTTAACATTATCCACATATTTTTTTCTTTATGTAATTATTTCCATCAATTCTCCACCGTTTTTTATCTTTTTTTAGCCTCTCTCATAATGAGATATTTAATCCTGAATCTAGTTTCCTACTTATTTAAGCGATTATGCGAGCATTAAACAGAGCAGAAATATATGGAAAGAGAAGAAAGAATTATTTTTAATTAAAACATATAAAACGGAAAGAAATAAAACGTAGAAAAAAGAACATTCCTTAATTAAATCTTCCAAAAATAAAAAAGGCGAAATTAAAGATACTTTCCAAAAATAGAGAAGTGTTTAAAAAATTAAGAATGAGAATATGCATTCCCCACAAATATATCCTTCAAAATTCTTCTAACATTTGTGTTATGTAATATTTACAGGTGGTAGAAATTTAACGTAAGCGGGGGAGTCCTTCACCGGAAAATTTTCCAAAAGCTTCTCATGTTTCTCTCATGAATCTTTCACTATCATCAAACTTCGTACTTGAATAATCACTCACCCGCCTTGGGAAATCCATTGTTTTCGCTATTGCGGACATTAGCGATCGGGGTCCATTTAAACGCCGCCTCTACCTCGCGGGGGATACGCGCGAAGGAGCAAGGATATACTCTTCGTTCCTCGTGTATATGATGTGTGTACGACGGCTAACTGTATATGCGAACAACTGATACTTCTTCCCGGCTGAAAAGGAGACCGTACCGGTGCTGTCCGGAAATGGGCCCCGGAACTCCGGCCGGCCAGCCGTGACCGGCAACAGCATCGGGGCCCGCCGGGGCCCGCCGATCTCACCTGAGCATGCAACGCGCACGCACACCTGTTCTCGAGCCTCCGCTGCCTTTCCAACGTTACTTCGCCACGGATAGATAGAGCACGAGCGGTTATTACACGTCCTAGAACATGTAATGAGCCCCTCGCTCGCGCGTTTCGTTCCGCTCCTTCCGTTGTGTGTTAAATGTTTTTGTTTTTTTTTTGTAAAAATGCGAAGAATTAAAGAGATTCCAAATAAGAGGAAATCGTATTATCCCGCAAATTAAAACTTTTTTGTAAAAAAAAAAATAAATTCTTTAATAAAATTAGAAGAATTCTTCTTGCATACAACTATATTCGATATTAATTAAAAGATTCTTTTAATTGGACGTCGAGTTTATTATAGACATATTAATACGATTCGATCCGATTCTTCGAAACAAACTGCGCTCGCCGTACATTTTTCCACGACAGGAGACGGCGACGGAGGGATGAGGACTTCGTCGACAAATGTCAGAGAGGTGTCTCCGTCTTACCACCTTTTGACGACGCGGAGATCCTTCGATGGATTGGCAAAACGAGGAGTCAGATCAGTCGAGCGGTATATCGAGGTAGAAAGATGCTTCTTGCGAGAACCCCCTTTATAACGTACAACGTGCACTTTCTTTCTGAATAGTCGAGAATCTGAAATGGGATGAGAACGATCATCCCGAGGTCAGGACGAAGGATGCTGTGGCTGTCGTTGCTCTGGACCGCAACGTTTGCTCACAAGGAGTTCAGGTAAAATTACGAAAAAAAAATTATAATCGAGATAAATTTCCGAAAACATGATTACAAATTATAGATACTTCGCATAAATAAATTTTTAATTGATTGATATAAAATGTATAAATATAAAAGAATTGAGATTATAAAAAAAATGCGCGTTTTTAAATAGATTTATTTCTTTTTTAGGTTGAAATTGGAACTTGCAAGAGCATTAAAAACTTTACGTCCACTTTGAAAAATCTGGAGCTTGAAACGATTGATAGGGATCCTCCAGAACTTAGAACGAGCGACGCGCAAACGGATTGCTTTAACGATTCCGAGCAAGAAGACAACGTCCCGGTTTTCAAGACGAGGGAAATATCAACTTTTCAATTGGTGATCCAGGGAATGGAAATTTTAAATTTCCAGGTACGGGGATACCTGATTTATTCATGACTAACTGATTCTTTGAGAGAGTGATCAATTAATAATTCTTTTCGGAAATTAATCTTTTTAATCAAAAGAGAAGTCATTTTAAATAAGGAATATTCAATTTCACAGTACGCAGATCTATATGCAATTTAATCATGCTGTATAAAAAGATCATACGATGAAGAATTTATGCAGGGTACGAGGCATTCCCCCGCGGAGATTGCGCCATACTGGAAGAAGGATTCTCGAATGTGGCTGTGGAAATCAGTGAGGCTTGCGAGAAGAATAAGAAAAACTAAAGCAAAGGCTGTCGCTCCTGCGAGCACTTTATATCGTGAAAATCTTTCGTAATGTATTTTTTTATTATGATGTACATATGAATTTTCAGATCTTGTTTGTTTTTTTATATGAATATATTTGAACATTTTTATGCAAATGATTTTGGTAATACGTCAATCGATAAAATAAAAAAAAATATAGATAGAAGTATTAAAGAGGATCAATATAATAATTTAAACTACATTAATATTTAAACTGTATTAAAATTCAGAAATCATATATTAAAAGTTATTTTAATATAAACTAAAAGGGTGAGATATAATTATAATAATATTAATTTAGATTTGATACTAAGATATTATCGATTTTATTATACATGATATACTGTACATAGCAATATGATTTAATATTTTTCTATTCTTTTCATTTGGACATTTGCTGTCTACGACAAAGTTATGCGAGTTGCTCTTCATATAGCAGTCTTTCTTTTTCGATTCTTTTTCAATCTTATAATAAAAATAATAACTATCATCATCATGTACTATCGTAAAAATTATTATTAATGGAAAATGTGATATATAATCGAAATAACGCATGATGACCCTTCATAGATATTGAAATCGATTTCAGCCGCAAGTCTGAATACTCTCTATTGTCGGTTCTTCGTCGAGATTCTCACCAACTTCGAAGCGCGCAAAATCGATGATCTCAGTTTCTGTCTCTACTAGCAATTGCTGTACAGAGACAGAGGGATCAAGTAGGAATTCCTGATAGATCATGCAGGGCTCCTCGTCCACATTATTATGCGGCTCGTCCACTTGTGGATTTCCAATCTTCTGTGGGTCCATACCTATGGGCAGAAACAATTACAAGAATATTTTTTCCTTTTCTTTCTTTTTAATTCAATTCCTTTGATTACCTTTGTGATAAAAAAAACACTTACCAATGATATGCTGACAGAGTTGCATGCCCAGTATATTGTCCTTATTCTTGCATTTGACAGCGATAAGGACACCATATTTGCCAAAGGAAACGGGTATGGGATTCATAGGTGTTGGATGCGTGCAACCAAACAGTGTCACGTCCGGCGATTGAATACTGATGGCCAAAGCGCGTCTCAGTTTGATGTTCTCGCCCACATCGCCAATGGTTAGAGCGGAATGATCACCCAAGCTCTTGCCATCCACAGCTGACAAGATTTTAAGATTGTCCGCATGGAATACAGTTCGCTGCACTTCGTCTTGAATTTCTTGGGACTTTGCATGGTTTAATACGGCAGCGGCTACCGTTTCTGCGAGACCGTGAAATTTCTTGTTTTGCGCCACAAAATCAGTCTCGCAGTTAATCTCTGCCAATGCAGCGTATTGTCCATCAATGGTCACTGTGATAAGGCCTTGACTGGTATTGCGACCTTGTAGTTTGGCCGCCTGTGTCCAACCGTGCTGTTGCGCCTGTTCCTTTAGCCATTTCTCAGCCTGGAGCAAGAAGGGACTAAGAGATTCCATCATTTAGTCAATTAAAGCCATAATGTGCTTAAATGAATCTATATCTCTATCTTTTACCTTTTCTAAATCATTCTCGTGCAATTGCAAAGCTTTCTTGCAGTTTTCCAAGGTATAACCAGTCTTTTTGCGCAGCTTTTGTAGTGGGGATTTCTTTGTTGCCTGCCATAGCAAGCTGTTTGTGTGAATCAAGCGGAATATCCGTGCTGGAATCATCTAGAATATATTATCAACATTAATTACACAGGAGTATTGAAAGAAATAAAAATTTATTAACTTAGGCAACTACATCTTAAAGCTACGATTATTTAACAATTGTGACGACAATTTAACAATTGTGGAGCACAAAGAAAAAAATGTCATCATGGATAAAATTTAATTTAACTTTTAGTAAAATATGCATTGTAAAAATTACAAAATTACATGGGTTATCTAATTTTTGGACACAGCGATAATTAGAATGAAGATGATTTCTCCATCTAATACATAACCTAAAAATTGCACGCAAGATGCAAGATTGCTCTTCGTTAAAGAAAAAAAGGGACGAGAGACGCGAAAGCGAAATGATTTTCTCGTTAATTAGGACATTCATGGGGTTCATTAATTATACCGCATCGATCAATCACGTTGCCTAGAAACTGCAATCGAGGATGCAGTTTGCGATTAATGCAGATTCTGGAACGCGATTGACAAGCGAAGACACGTGTAGCCGCGTAAACGTCAAGTTGAAAATTAACCACGCGAGATGCAAATACGCGAATAATTCGCGAGAGATCGCGCTCGTTTTTCAATTTTAAATATACATCGCGATCGTTTAGTGATGCAAACACTCACCGTGCATAGAGGTTAGAGTCGTGAGATCTATAGTATACTGAAGTAAGCCTTCCCTATACTATCTTATAGAAAATCGAGGCCGGAATTAGAAAGAGACACGTATATTTGGTTGGATTTCTGTCTCCTTTTTAGATATCATCTGAACTAAAAACATTTCTCATCGGATATTTAGCTATAAAAGCGATGCAGCTTCCGGGAAATGTTTCGGTTTTATTTATGAATTTAAAATTTAAACAATTAAATTGGAAATGGTTGTCAATTATTAATTTTTTTTTAATTCGTAAAGTATATATGAAGTCAATGTTTTTGACACTATAATGTTAAATAGTATCAACCAATCAGCGAACAGCTGACAAAGATAACGATCCATCCAGTATGTATGTATCCTTTTCTACGAATTGGGTCATTCCTTCACTCTTGAAGGCTTACTCCAGTATGTTATAGACACAGGTTATAGAGCTCAACGAATAAAGTGACAATCATAGACATAGTATATCTAGATCGAGCGTTTGCCTTTATTTAAGGAGTGGGGGTCGATGCCCACGTAGAAAAGGACATACTCTGTTTCGTGCCCCTTTTATTACAATATTCTTAAAAAAATTATTAAAGTAATATATTCAAATATATAAAATGTTTTAACATAAAAATATATTATTATATATTTTTAAGACATTATCTCTTATCAAAAAATAAAATTGAGAATTATTTAAGATCAAGATGATAAAAGTCATATATGTGTATTTTTTAATATAAACAATTAACAAATTTATATAAAAATAATTATATATACTCTTTTATTATACTTTATAAATATTGTATTTCAAAGAAATATTCTTGTATTTTCTATCTGTGTAGATTTCTTTATGTCAATATCTGTATAGATATATTTTATTATTCAAAAATAATTAATATTTATTGTAATTAAAATATCTAATCTTGTGAAAAGAGCGAGCATAAATAAAATTGCTTCACATTTTTATAATTTAATGATTTTATTACATATTTTCCAGAGATCTATTAAGTGCCGTTTTATGACATTAATTGTTCTAATTACAATTGAATATGGAAAGTTCTCATACAAAGGGAACGAAAATGCGAAAATACCAATCCGAGGATACGATTCGAATACCAAAGATCCTCGATACAAAAGTGGAACCATTATTTTCCTTGCCGTCCGACTTGATGAGCCCTAAAAGGTGTAAGAGAAAAAGAAAAGAATTGATTAGAATGAAAGGAAAGGTGCAAAAATTCCACGAGGGTTCTTACACCGCGAAACGTCTTCGTGAAGAGAATTTTCGCAGGTATAAAAAAAAAGGAAAATTGAGTATATATTCTTATAAACTTATATTTTTAAATAACTAAAAATTTTTATTTTTATATAACAATTAAAGTTAATAATTAAGATAAATATTCAAGTAACAATTAAAATGTTTATATTTGACGTTACGTAAATATGTATTTTAATTACTAACTCTTTATATAGTTTAAATCATTTCTATTACAAATTTCTCTCTCCAATAAATTTGTGAATATTTTATTCACTTGTATTATTTTACGATAAAATTAACTTAATAAAATTATAAAGGAACAATGCACATTTGCAAAAAAAGCGATTTGAATGCATTAAATAAATAATGAATTTTTTTCTGGGTAAGGATTCGACACTTTAAACGAATCTGTTTTATTAGATATGTGGTAGGCTTGATAGTGAAACCAGAGTTGCCGGCAAAGGACATAGATCTGAGCGACGATAGGGACGTCAATAGATATTATTATTACATTTGCAACGGAGTTGATACGATTCATACGGCGAGCATCGAACAGGTCTTCGTCGAGGCGATACTCGACCTGGTTCCCAGCAACTTGCGCGATCAATTTCCCGATTTTGCCAATAATTTAATGATCGAAATCAAGGAAGACTTTACAAAGAACATCAAAAAGGCCATTGTCGAATTTGCACTCACTGATCCTTCCGAAGAATATTCTTCAGAGGTTGGTCATTTTGCAAAAATCGAGAATTGTATTAAAAGTAAAGAATTTGACAGTTGTCGATGTAAAAATTATAAAGATATCTAGGAATAAATTTAATGGTAATAATTAATTTTATTTGAGAGAACTAAAACGGTAATTATATTATAAAATATGAAGCTTTTTGTATATAGAAAATTTTTGATTTTATATAAAATTTTGATAAAATCTTTTAATACTCAGAATATAATTTAAGCAATTGTAACGACAAAGTATTATATTAATTATTTCATTATTTTAATAACGTTATATGCTGATTTTATAAAAATTTCATTGCTGATATTTGCAATTAAAATTACAGTTTGATGCGATCGGGGAAGATGAGCGACGCGTTCAGCCGGATTTTTGGAGACACATAGAACACTGTCGCGAAATTTTACGCGACGATTTATATCTAATAAATCCGTGTATGCGAATGACTCTGGATTACTGGGTTCGTGATTACAGGTATTGAATTATGCATGCAACTCGCTATCACTATCGCATTTCCATTTCAGTGGAAGATATCAAATTTTTCAGCAAATTTCGACTGATCAATTTAGAGTATATCACCGCCCACAGAGAAAGCTGGGATTTAATGAATTTTCATACCTTAATTACACATCAGATCGTTGCTAATAGGCGGATTTTGCGGAAAGACTGGTACAGCGAAATTCAAGAGATATTTCTCGTGGTAAAATAACTTTAATAATAATATAAAGTATTATTCTGTATTAAAAAGAATAATTAAAAGAAATTGACGAATTAATTATTTTCTTCGCGATTCTTATTTTATATTTATTTTTTATTGTGTGCATAAATTAGGCATTTATTTATTTATTTTTATTTATTTAGATAATTATTTATCTATTAATTTAATTCGATAGTATTAAAAGTGCTGAAAATATATTAGCTCTTTCTAACACTTTCTTTATTTTCTCTGTTTATTTATCTATTAATTTCACAGGACAAATTATTACAACTCATAAATTTAATTAAATTTTCTTTTAAAGGCGAGATATATTGAGGATGAGAAATAAATTTTCTCATCCGATTCTTCTCTCTATCTCAATCCTATTCCTTTGCAGAACAATAGGAAGAAACTGGTGCCTAGCCTGTTACGTCGCAAGCAATTCAAGCGGTTCTTCGATTGCGCCGGCAAGTTGATGGAGTCGCATCTTTTAAAAGCTTGCAAGCACTCTCTGCGGGATTTCATTAATTATGTCGTAGACGGCAAGGTGAATATATACGTATCTACCGCGATCGATCGATGCGAAATCATTGCCTGATGAGGAAAGCGGCACGTCTGTGCTTCCTTCCTCCGTTTATCCTATCGCTCGCTATAGGAACATTCCGTTATTCGACACAATTTTCATCAATTTCTGCTTATCGATACTTTTCATGGTTCGCTCGTCCGCTCTCTCTTTGAGTTTCATCGCGCGTGTAACGCCTATTTTATAGCAAATAATTAAAGATTTTAAAATAATATTAAACTTTTTATTATTATAAGTTAATTATAAATTATTATTATAAAAATAATTTTCTCTTTCTATAAAATAAAACTGTTTCGATAATATTTTGGGAAGATTGCAGATTTTATTTTTTTATGGAGAATTTTAATAAAAATTTAAAAAATTTTTTGGAATCTTATATAATTTTTAGAATGAAAGAAATATTTTTTCTGCAAAAATAAAAAGTATTGATATTATGCAGAAAAATGATTTTTCTTAAAATTTATAGACATCTTTATATACATTTATTTTTAGCTTGATATTGCTTTTGCAGATAAACAAGCGTTATTTAGGAAACTAAATGTTTTTTGAAAAATTTTAATTTTTATTCTTTTATACTTCAATTTTCTGTAAAGTCTTCAAAATTAACGCTTCGGGAATGCATTCTGTTTTTCCACAGCCTGTAGCTTGCCGCTTTAAGGTGAACATTGCCATTGTCTCCAATGAGCTCGTCTTCGAACCGCCCTTCGATAAATTTAAGGAATCGCTTTGCGATATTCTCATGGCAATTTGCAACGCCGTGAGGAATTTTGAAAGATTGGAGACGCAACTCTACCTCGACTGGACGGGACCTCAAGAATTCCTCAAGGTTTCATATTATTAAATATAGCGGAGAACAACCGAGTGAGGAACTATTCCTCATTTTGAAATTTTTGATCGTAAAAGATAAAAATCATAGAATATAAAATATATTACTTATCCATATATGTTATAAAATAATTATTATAATTATTTATATATATAAAATTACGATGCAACCTTTCATATATGATAATTTGCGAATTAAAATGTGATTCGTTATTTAAATTTTTATTATAAACAGTTATGCCTTTTACACAGCCGCAGATATCTCAATACATCGTCGAGCAGCTCAAGAGACAAATAAATCAGCTGATCGATCGTGAAAAAGAAATCCCGGAGAAAAAGATGGAAGAATTGAAAAAGTGCTTATCGACTTTATTGCCGCCAATGATTGCGATGAAGCGTTTAATAATATATAATTCCTGTTTTTTTTTTTTTTTTTTTACAGATACGAATACCTTTTCAACAACCAAGAATTTAATCGGGCGGAAGCTTTCTTACAAGATGAGACCAAGAAACTGAAGGAATACGAGATAAAAATTAAGAGCTATCACGATCTCGCCGGAAGAATCCCGATCGAAATCGAAAAAACAGTCTTCGCGGGATTCTTCGAAGTTTCTCGCGCTGCTTTTGTCAAGACTATCGTGGAGAACATTGAACGCTTCAAAGAACTTTTAATTCGCCATCTTGTCGATAAATATCAAGATACGACGAAGAAGTAAATATTTAAATATTAAAAATTCTAGCTAATTCTTATCTCTTTCATTTTTCATACGTTTTTGTTATATATAATTTATTGTTAATTTATAAATTAGTGCAGTTTTTAAAAGTTATTTAAAGATTGATTAATATACTATATCTCATAACGATTATGTATTTTGCTATTTTCCCAAGAGAAAATTGAAACA